ATCTGTCCTTGACAGAGATCCTTGACTGGCTCAGCCGTTTGATCTGGAGGTTGTGTCCCCTGTGGACAGTGTTCGAAAAGGCAAAATCCTGGATGTTGTTGTACATGAGATATGTCTTCCCCACCCCCACGCGGCAAATCTGTTCAAATTGTGAAGTCAAAGGTTTCTGCGGCGACAATCAGGCAAATGATCTTGGCAGTCCGGTGACGACTTGTCGAAGAGTGTGATGCCGAAGTTTCAACCATCTTGTCGTGGTCTTCCTCGGGGCTGGACTGCGCTGGACGTCAGGGACAATGAGGTCGAAACGTCATCACAGCCTTCGACGCGACCTCACCCGGATTGCCAAGATCGTTTGCTGTTTAAATTAAACCCCAGAGATCGCTCGAGTCCCGGCGATGAGGCTGTAGCTGCTCTGAAAAAATGCCTATTTGCAGCTATTAGACTCCTACATGTTGAAAACAGTCAATGAAAACAAGTTTCAGTGAAAACACCTTCAGTCTTTCACAATTGCAATCAAGTAAAACATAAATTTCCCTATTTACCGTAAACATCTTCATTTCATCTATGCTAAACTTGTTAGGAGGTAAATATTCTTTTTTCTCTGTGTAGGTCGAATTCAGTGACAGTCTGAAGAAGAATTCAAGGGGCCGGCCTACCTAACCGGTAGTTTTTCTCGTTTTCTACGATCAATTCCAGACGAAACCTTGGGCATTACCTTAACAAACGGACCATTATCCTCCGATTTTGACTTCTTTCGCCACAGTCCCCACGGAAGATTCGATTTTGGGTCGATGCGATGGGTTTGTGCGCTGCGCAGCTGGGAGCGCCGATGGGGGCGGAGCGGGCGGAGCGGGTGCTGGGGGCGACGGCGCTGCCCCTGGCGGAGCTGCACGGCAACCCGCGCGCCGACACGCGCGTGCAGGTACTAGGACATGGGGGAGGGGAGGGGAGAATACGAATATTTCTTTTTACTAAGATATTCTTCATTAGTAAGGATAAAGGAATCTACACTTCCCTTTTATTCAATGTTCACAAATTATTTTTGATCATTAAAATACATAAATTATATCTTCTAATACACCAATTGTAGTTTAGACTTTTTTAGCTCTGAAGATGGCAGAAATGCAAAGCTTTATGCTGAAGTAAATTTGTATGACAAACAAGGAATCATCATTTCCTTTATAATAATGCTATTGCCATAAACTCCACACCGTTTCCCATCTTTCAAATCTGATAGTTACTCATGTGTCTTTTACATCTAAATGGTAAACAAATTGTCGTGCACGGGTGTTTGACTGATCCCATTTCGACGCTGTCAAAGAGACTTAGTGTTGCTGCTAACACCAATTTATCATTTTCTTCTCTTTTCTCTCGTGGTTATTCTTCTAATCCTTCTTCTTTCTCTCCTTTACTTTGCTTCTTATTCTTCACATTTTTTCCTCTTTTTTGTTTCTATCTTCTCCGTCTCCCTGTTAATACGATGGATGGATCACAGGACAAAACGCGGGGGTACATGCAACCCCATGCATGTAACACGTAAACGTTATGCGGGTTGCCTTATTCATCGCCGCACAGGGGCTGAGCTAAATATAATGTTCATCGTATTCGTGTTCAGTTTTTTATTATTATTACTATTTAAGGTCGCATTAGTATTTAGGTCATTAAAGACTATTGCATTTAACTGCATTTAACCATGCCCTACGTGGGGCACGAAGCAGCGATCCTCCTGTCCGATATCACATCGGCACTACTACCTTTACAATCTCCGGACCGGCTCTTCCGGATATTTGACACACTGCAAAGAAAAAGGTTCGATCTCACATTTTGCCGGTTTTCAGTTAACGGTGGAAAACGTCTTTAAATATAAAATCTCCTTTCCCTTTCTTTGCATAAAAGTTGTTGTCTGTGAACTCTGTGAGGTCTGTAGAGTGCCTTTTAACTATTAATGTTAAGAAAAAATATCCATGTCCAAAACTAAGAACAACACTTTTGATTTTTCTTCAAAATCTGAAGCTTCCGGACATCAAACGTTTTTTTGTCGATTCATTTGTCTTGCGGAGGCCGGCTGCGGGTCGAGCACAAGACAGCGCGAGGTGGCGCGAGGTCTTGCCCCTGAAGGGCCCTGTGCGCCAAAGCTGCAGGGAAGAGCGCGGTCATTCCAGCGACATTCGTGTGCCGCAGCAGGCGGCAAGGGCCGAAGGGCGCGAGAGCGGCGCGGGGCTGCGCGCGCTGCCCCTGGCGGAGGCGCGCGGAGTGTGGCTGCTGAGCCGCGCGCTGGAGGCCGAGGAGCGCGCGCTGCGAAGGCTGCTCGCCACGCCCCCTACGCCCCCCGCAGGTACCGCCTCCCCCGACGCAGCGCGCCTCATAGAAGCGGCAAGGCTCATCTCACGGAGCCACCACCCAGTCATGGGGTCTCGGTAGTCCAGTCGCTATCCAATGCTGTACCGTCCCGTAGGCGGAACAGCTTTAACTTGTCACAAACGACATAAAAACAAAGCTGGTTTCGTCGTTGCAAAAAACAGTTTTGTCAACTGAATGGACCGTACCCCGCAGGGGCAATCATGGCCACGTAGGAGGGCGTGATTTCTGGTGGAGAGTTGTACACGACCACTCGGACCCTGAGTTGCACGGCGGCACTCACGTCGTTAGCTTCAAGGGGGAGGCAGTGACTGGACGATGCTAAGCTGCGTGTTGGCGGGTTCGCCCGCTAGCCCAGCAATTGGCCCCTCCGCGTCGACCTTATGGCGAAGGACTTCCTAGGAATGATCCAGATTCCGCATGTAAAAGTCCAGAGAGGGACCATGACACCCTTTGCCAGGTTGCCTGGGTTCCGGTGGAACTCACGTCGATAGCATAAAGGTAGTGAGGAGAGGAGAAGGGGGCCCCAAGCCGGCCGGACCGCAGATTGAGTGTCCCCCTGTGGGCACTTGGCTTCGTCGTGGCAGCCCCGTACTCTAGGTGTAGAGGAGGAACTCCTGCTCTAGCCCGGAAAGCTAATAGCTCTGAGCTGGCATGGCGGCCGCCGCCCAGGCTTTGTGTGGGGAGGATGAACTGCGTTGTGGCGGGCGGGGTTCAGGTCCCAGCCTGCGAGTGCGACGGCGGAAGGAGCGGGTAGAGGCGAGCGCGCAGATGCACACTCCGGGGAGCAATCCCCCAGGCAGCGCAAGGCAACCACTGCCTCTGCAGCAATTCTCAAGGGGAAGCTAGAACAAGAAAGAGGGGGGAAGTGGGCCGTCTGTTAGGGTACTGCTCCGGCATTCGCCTCGTGTCTCGTGTTGATGGGAGATACTACCTGGGGGAGATTTCTCGCGGCCGGCTGGTCTCATTGATCGACAGATTTCTTCAGTCAATACTACGCCAATGCCGTAACAAAGATGCCGCGAACCGCTCGCGATGTTTCGTAGCCGCAGCCTCTTACTCACACGCCCGCGCTTGTTACGCTGAGGCAGCGCTCTGAAGCCTGCGTGCCGACGTGTGGGCCTGCGCCGACCCCTCCCTCCTGCGAGCGAGGAAATGCAACACTAAACTCTCGCAACTAAGTACCGGAAATATCAGACTATCAACCAATGTACTCTCACTAGCGAGGAGAATTATCACGTGCAAAGGGCTAGCGTGGAACATCCAATTACATTACGTCACTAGAGAAGAAAACAAATGGCGTCCAGAGTCTGAGTAATTTAATAAGATGTGCGATACGAATATCGAACAAACTTTTATCGAAATTTTAAAAATTATTCTATATAAAGTTCACAATACTTTAGATTTAGATATATTCAGTCAAAAAACAGTAAAAATTGTATGTGACGTAGGGGGGAGAAGATTATCTGCGCACGTTTTCTTGAGTTCCAGAATCCCTTCCCGTCATTTTAACTTTAAATAGTTGAAAGATGAGTACAAGTTTGACATAAATAACTAAAAATTAATTTTAAAAATACATTTTAAAAACAGCAAGATTAAAAATATTTGAAAAATAATAATTTTCGTTTCCGAGTTATAGAAAACTTATTTGCATCGGTACATCAATTGCAAGTATGATTTTTCTTCATTGCTAACAAAATAGCAACTCGCCCTTACCTCTACTCTTACCTTTACAAGCAAAAGGAGAGTTCAACAAAACGTGCGCCTTGTGAAGCTACATTTCCTTATACCTTCTTATCCTGAGGAACGTGTTAGATTAGTATTGATTAACTTATTACAATCTTTTAAAATGTATTATTCCCTGGGTAGAGTAGAACATTAGCAGCCGGGAATGGTTATTGGTTTAAGATTTACACTACTTGGTATGGTTGATATTTGATTTAATGCAAGAACTGTCCCATTAACATATACAACCCACATTGGGTGAATGCCAATTATGAAGGGTTAAAAACTGTTGTGGGAGTTTTCGTACTACCTCCACTACCCATTATCCATCCCCGTGCATAATCTATGAGGTAATTTTGCTGCCCCTTGGTTCTACAATTTGAGCAACAGGAGTATGATATGAATAATGTATTTTTAGCATACGTGTATATGATTTAAGGATATGTTGCCAGGTCTTTAACTGTAACTTCGAATTCATGAGAAGGCATTGAATCAAAAACTTAAGAGGTCGATTTTGTAACTAATTCTCTCACTCTACTTACATTTCTTCCAGACTTCGGTCAAGAAAAGTTGCACGGATATTTGATGGTTTTGTTTTTCTTACTAACTTTACTCCGATAATTATCGACTCGATCGATCCTCGCTATGGTCGACAATATAATAATTATGAATCTACATGCGTCGATTATGAGATGCCATCCCATCGATATTTCCTCTGAAACTGAATTGACAATCGGCGCCAAAGCGGGTTTATGTATTCTTGACTTAATGTCACAATAACATTGCAATTTTTGTGACCGGCATGGATTGATGGAAGAACTGTTTGTGTCTAGAGACAAAACTAATGCAAGATGTATTGATATGTGATCTGTGGTGTATCTAAAGAAAACTGATGAATATCGGTGTTCGCCGTTATGATGGGGGATCGCGAATGTATGAGAGAAGAAAGTGATTCTAAGGAAGTGGAGGTACTAATTACGTTTTCTAGTTTCTAAACAACTAGACGCCGTACTGAGCATCAAAAATATATTATTGTTATTATTATTATTATTATTATTATTATTATTATTATTATTATTATTATTATTATTATAAGTATTGTACCCCACATTAAGAGTCAATGACTTCCATCTCGACTTTCGACCAATTTCTTTTATTCTTGGAACTAGGCTCAAATACTCCTTTGTTTTGCTTCTGGGCGTAAATATGGTGTCATTATCTGCGCACGACTTGTAGCGCTCAGTAAGGAATATAATTAATCAAATAAGTGTTCTCCTAATTCTCGTAGCAGAAAGTCAATTCCTTCACGAAAGACACGATGAGGGATAACAGCCAGAAACTGTAGCTCTCGTAACACGGAAGAAAATGTTTTCTAATCCATTTTTGACGAAAATGCTGTTATTTCCTTTATTTATAATTTTACGTAATATGTAGCTACGCATATAGATTAGGGTAGGAATTACACAACTCAAAAAAGCATCCACAGATTGCACTTTTCCCTGTAGTACTTTAACCACCGTTTTTATCAGCTTTTTAACTTTAAATAAATATGAAATGTGTGTATGTAGTTGCTTACAGAGTAACGTATTGATGTTTCCACTTCACAGTCTTTCAATTGAAGCACTTTTGTTTTCAATTAAAGTGCCTTCCTTCAGCTCATATTATTGAGGTACTTTTATGCCGATGCTCTAAAATACCAATAAAATGGCGAAATTTATTTCACTGAAAAAATAGGAAATGAACTGCTTACTTTTTATACTTAGTAACCATTCGTGCTTCTTGTTTCAGAGTTTTCTATAATTTTTTATAGAATTTACTCTGAAATAGTATAGTTTTAAATAACTTTCCTTCATTATTTTCGAGAAATGTTTTTTTACTTTTTAAAAACTACTGGGAGCATTAGTGCGATGAAATTGGCACATCACTGACAGAAAATGTATCAATAAATGTACGAAAGTGAATAACTTTGGAGTTGACATATTTGATGTGCTTTAAAAAAATCCCCATGTCGCCATCTCAAATTACAAATGTTAGTATCTCATAGTAAGTTATATTTAAATTACTTCGAGTATTAAAATGTAACGAGAAGTGTAACACAGCCTTCCGTTACGCAGAAAACCGAAAGAAAATCGGGGTCCTAGTTTCCTTAGATGTGGGTCACTAAACAGGCGCACACCAGTGAAGTTGTTGGGAGGTGGGCTACTATGGGCCCCAGCGAAGTTTTTTCAATATCTTTGTTTAATAATTGAATTTTCTCAAAGAATTGTCCCCGACCGGGATTCCTTGAACGTAACGATTCTTGTGGCAATTCTTCTTTGAACAAATTTAATGATTAAAATATGTTTGTTAATCAGTAACATGATCACAACTTGAATTTATTTACTGATGTGGAACGTATTTCCGACTGTAATTGCGTTCAGAAAAGGTGATAGGGTGGTGACAATTATATATACCTTTGTTTCGGAATAAAGTTATCGTTTCATCTTTAGGAATTATTCTGTTATTGGAAACTTTTTGAATATCTAGTGATACTTTCGGCCTTCAACGCTTTTCGAAAGTCGCCATGCGCAATCGCGTTCTAGAAACTCCGGCGTTCACGTACAGTCAGGCCGGCCTCAAATCACGTTGCAATCTTATTTTAGCACATGTCTACGTAGAGAACAGTTGGGCCACGTACGGAATGTGTAACAAGTTCTTCAAAAAAGGGCATGATTAACTGATAGGAAATACAATTGCTTAACAATGTACTGTTAGTTCTTAAACATAAAGAATTGCCGTTCAATTTCATTGGTATTTATTACGAGATCCGCCGGCACCCCGCCCTCCCTCTTTTGCCGTTCAGGCAACTGGAATAGCTTCGATGTGCGACACTTAAGGCGAATCAGGTGGAAATCACAATTAAAGTAAGTAACTCATCTCAATCAGGATTTTCCTTCCATTTCCCACGAACTATTGAACAAATGCTGAGATGAATCCTTGCCTTGCTTCTGGTAGCTTCTACCGACCGAACGTCACTTACTTATTTATCATTTTGGTCGTAAAAAAACATCATTAATTCAATGAAAGGAAATAATATTGTACATTTTTCTTTTTTGGAGGTCAAGGAGGAGCCTGTGGAGGAATTATATGACTCCGAAGTAGAAACTGTAAGTTTGATTTCAATTTCATCTTTGCTAATCATGTGGAACTAGAAATTATGTTATCAGGGCCGGATTAATATCTTAGGAGCCCTAAGCGCGCCAAAAAGATTATTAAAACTATGTCTCCTTTAAAAAATCAAAATACAGCCAAATACGCATTTGCTACCGTAAAATATTACGTTATCAATATGACACCCACCACTTTTTGCCAATCTCATTAAAACATGAATTCTTAACGGCCAGTGGTGTTTTTAACGTGTTTGTTTCTTTAACTATCGGACATTAGCGTACTCGCCGTAAATTCTTCGTTCGCGTTATTTGTTTGAAGTTTATTGCAATCTATAAAAAAAAAACGCTTTCGTGAAAACGGTCCAATTTTTACTTTTAATTTCCCCCCCATGAATAGTACACGAGATGCTTAAAATATTGGCGCAGGTCTCGTTTTCGTCAAACTCTTTGAATTTTCGAAAATGGCAAAAGTTAGAAATAATGAGAAAAAGTATGTGCTGTTGAAGCTCAACTAGTTTCTGACATATACACTGAAGTCGGGTTTATGAGGCTTCTTCAGTGAAAGCAAACAAATTTAATACATGGTTGTCAACAAATACAAATTTAATACATTTCGGAAAAGATATTTCTATCATGGCTTGCAACCACAAGAAGAGTAAACACGCAAACAACATGTTACATGTTCTTGAAGGTGGAACACATCATGGGATATGAGGAACATAAATGCACATTCATCCTATCAACACACACACTGTGGTTTATAAATGGTAGAAGACAATACTCTTACCATTAGTAAGGATGGTATTTGAGTAATTTCTGAAATCATATTTTCTATGATTTTTGTACATGAGCTACCATGAAAAATGTTCAAATGCAAAAGAAGTTGAAATAATGTTATCACTGTAATCTTAGTAACCAAAAGTGAATTAAGTGGGCCTTTATTGAAAGAAAGAAATTGTAAAATATGATATTCCTTTGGTAGATAGCTCCTACAGTTTGTTGTGGTGTATGAGAATGTACTTATAACATGTTACAACTCAGTCTTAAAGCTTTATTAATAATCAACAAATCAGTTTCATACAATCATTTCTGTGAATATTTTGCACCTACTGCTTTTATAATAACTGCATTTTTTGTTTGTAACAAGCAGAGTGTGCACCCTCTTGCTCTCCACACCCTGCCACTGGGACATTTCTTTGAAGTGGGTCGCTCATCAGTAATACAGACCTTGGCTTACAGCAATGCAGTAAGTAAACAAGAACATGTTACGCCTAATCTGTGCCTCTAATGACTTTCTGTTGAATAAAGGGATGTATTTAAATTCAAGAAATTTATAAGATTTTTGTAAGAATCTTGAATATAACTTGGATATAACTCACCAATATTACAAAAGTTTCTTGCAAGATAAAATTAACCAGAGAGTTTGTAATAGTTGACTGATTTAAAAAAAAAACACAACATTTTTAATATATTTAACATATACATTGAGAACTGTGATGTTAATTGAAAATCTAAGAGACTCCTTGTAAAATTCTTCTATTGTCTTCTCCTTGAAGATTATTTATTTTTTTCAATTGCACATTAATTGAAGTTAAAATTATTTATATTTATTGCCACAGTGGTAAAAATAATGGGCCCTAATATTTTTGTTACTGCCAAAGAAGTTGATTATTTTCATCAAATTTGCATTTGAAAATAAAAAGATAAAATGAGATAAAATATTAGGAAAAAAGAAAAGAAAAAAAAGTTTTCAACCCCCCAAAACTTGTACAGAGTATATTCTTGCAATTATTGTGTTGTAAAGTTTCTGGTAATACTTTTTTGTACTTTAATCCTGCAGGAGGTTAATGACTGTAACTATTCCAAGCTTCAGTGTTTGCATGATCCCATTTGAACATAAAAATTCTAGAGCCAAAACCTTAGAGAGGAATCCCAGCTATGCTGTTGAGGTCACTAGAGAAAGGAAATCTTCTCTTTAACTTGCAGTGGCTACAGTCAAATGTAGTTAAAACAAAATTGTATATTTTTAAGTAATTTAATTTAAGTTTATGGAACTTTGAGGTTATAAAAAGCTTTTATGACAATTGAGTGGTTTTTGAAGGTTATGTTTCCTCACAAATGTTGTTAAACATATTTATGTAAGAAGTCCAAAATCATGACACTTCTAACCAAGTTGAATTCATTAAACTTTGAAGACATGCAATTACGATGATAATACACAATTATAGTTGTTGTGAGTGAGCTGCTCAGTGACTTCAAAGAAGTATAACAGAATTTTATAAAAATCCTTTTATTAATACCTTGGTTGATCTTCAATGGCAAACATTCTGTATGGTATTGTTGATGTTGCTCACATAAACTTCCATGCAAAGGACGGGGAGGAAGAAATCTTAAAAGTGTCTTTTATTATTTTTATGTTTTCAATTAATTTTATATTTATTTTTTAAACAAAATCTTTACAGATAATACTCTTTGTATTCATAATTTCTTGTTTGTTTTGCATTTCTCCTGGATTTATTCAATAACATATTTTTGTGGTTATCATCATACAATTTCATAGAATAATCCCAAAAGATAGAAATTCTGAGAATGATTAGTATTTACTGATTTCAGAAATATTGAAACATTTTCAGTGTAGTCTACACAGTCAGAATTATTCTGCCCATGGACTACAGTGGAAACCTTTGTTTTTTTGCAAAGAAGTCAGTTTGTTGCAAAGCAATGTTCTTTTGTATTTAAAAAATAAAGTTAGTCTTTTCAATTTCATTTCTATATTTTCTTTTAGGTTATCGAAAGTAAAAGTGTAACCAAATTTTAAAAAAGAGTAAAGTTTGCAATTTTGTTAAATTACCAAAAGGGGTGATTGCTCTGTTCATTGCCTGGGGACCGGTGGGCCTCCCTCCTGAGAATTAATGTTGCTAAATATTTTACTTGACTGGTGATTGCTGAATGAAAAAAAAAACAAAAAATAATACAAAATATCTTTGACCTCTGAATAAACTGCTAACTAGTAAAAATTAAATTTGACAGGAGAGCAAGGCATTGACCCCTCCTGTGATTATTTTAATTCATCTTCGAGTAAGAATAAATAGACAAACAAAGATATTTGATGTTAATCAAGTATCTCAAATCATTTCATAATATGAATGACTTGACTTACAAGAGTTTTTGGTATTATGAAATGTACATTGTGTTCACAAGTATACTTGAGCACTCAGTGAGGCTAAGAAATATAATTACATACAGATGTAGAGAATGATTAGTACATACTACCAGTAATATTCTATATATATTTTTAAAAAATGTTGACTTATCTGATTATTCAGCAGAGTCATTAATAAGTCCATATTCTGTCCCATCTGATGAAGGAGAGCTTTCTGCTATTTTTGAACAGTATATTTGAAATGTTGTATGTAAAACTACTAATATTTATTTTTGCATGAATTTTTTTAATATTAGACTTGCTTAATGCTGAAAGGGATTGAGACTGACTAACAGACTGAATAATCGCAGACCAATTACATTTCATGATTATCACAGATTAGGCGTAACTATTTGTGCAAAATATTTCTCATTTTATGCTAGCCTTTTCAGAAAGGTAATTAAGCAAATACTAACAATCAAAAGAGATACTGAAGAATGCAATGTTGCTGTAGCAAGCTCCACACATCTTCCTTTGGCACCATCTAAAAATATGATATTTTATAACAAATGCTTTTTCTTTTCTCATCTTTTTTCTAAAATTCAGCTTGAAGAAATAAGGATAAGGAGATAATGAGAATTAACTGTGATACAATTTACTGTATTCTACTGATTTGTGATTGTTTCCCTTCAAAAATGTCTCAGCTTGAAATTTTCTCATTTTTTAGCATTGAAATTTTAAAAAATATAAAGAGATGATGGAGAATAGTGTATTTTCAAAGCCTTTTTTTGTAAATAAATATATTTTTTGAACTTGCAAATCTCCATCTTTGTCTCTTCTTCTCAAACTTGTTAGATGTTTTTTTGTTATCAATACTTTTCAACAGCAAATGGCTATAGATGTGTATTGTTACAAAAAATAATAGGTTGGCTGAAAATAACACAAATTTAAAAATTCTTGTTTTTTCAGCACCAAAAAGGTAATTTTTTAATTACGATTATGCTAAATATTACAATCAATGTCAGCACAAAGGTTGGGCAGTTCAGGCTGCTGACTGGCACGTTTAAATCTCGTGGACCCTAAAATGTATTTCACAGATAAAAATTAGGTAAATGAAATGAAAAGAATTAGAACAGTCAAATTTGTATCCTGGTATGTTGTTGATATCAATATATAAATGAAACAAAATATTTAAATAATTTAATACAATTTGGTTACGAATATGCATTTGTTGGTAAGAAAGGTTCAAAAATATAATTAAAAATTACAATGAAACTAGTAAAATTACTCATTTTAATTTATTGAGATAGAGGTATATATATATTATCAATAAAGAAATAAAATGCTACATGTGAATCGTTAACTAATTTGCAGATAGAAATTTCAAATATATCATTTCTTAATATTAAAGGAAGTAAATTGGTATAAGAGAGTGAAATAAGATATTTACAAGTAAATGTTTGGTTTCTTAGGTGACAATTAGAGCCAAGGAGGGTACTTTTCACATAAAAATAAAATCATTTCACTGACGAATGTCATAATGAGATTGCTGGAAATGAGACAGCTAGTTGATACTTCCCAATGTAACAGTAATTATTATTATCAATACATAGTTATATTAATTTATTACAATTATTATTATTGTTGTTATTATTTTTTTATTTATTTTTCCCTGTAACCCCTTTGCCCTTGTCATAAAAGTGTCATTATTAATATTTCGTTTTACATCCTAAAATATTATGTTGAATTTAATAGCAAAATAATGCAAATGTGTACATAGCTTTTTTTTTATGGGATTGAGTCCACTTTTCTCTTTTTCCTGAGGCCCTACATTTCTGAGTCTCACTTAATAAAATATATGGTAATATTATATAGGAATTAAATCTTTATGTTAAAACTATGTTAATTTCATTCAAAAAGTTAATGATATGTGGCAGTTAGTGGCCAGAAAGCAATATTAAGGGGGCTAATTTCAAACCCACCCATGTCCCTTGTTTTGTGAAATTGTGATAATGGTAAAAGACAATTTTGGTATCCATGTAATACAATTTTCCCCTACATGTTATTTTTTGTAATAAAAATCCAAGTCATAATAAAGACAGCAATTTCCAAAAAATTATTGTTTCAGAGTTGCCTGCCTCAGAGCATGCAGTTTTCTTACAGTAAAAATTTGAAATTTTACTTTCTGGAATGTAACAGCAAACTCTATAATCTGTAAAATAAAATTGTAAAATATTCAAGCAGTTTCTTGAAATTCAGCAATCTCATTATTTTAAATGCTAATTCTATATCCTATCATGGGTGACTGGAAAACTGTAAAAGTAAATGTGAACCTAATGAAATCATTGAAACTAATAATAAATTGCTAAATTCAGTGAGAAATGGATCAAATAAGTTTTGGCCTCTAGGAAATTCACAAAAACTGGAGATGGCTGGTTTGAAACTTGCCCTCTCATTTGCATAATCAGCGAATAACAACTTATATACATGTGTGTGTTTTCTCTCTTTAGGCCAATTCTGATGCTTACATGAGAGATACTTTTGATTCCACTGAAACACCATTTGAAAAAGTGTCTTTAATGACAGCTGAAAAGCCAAAACCCGTGAAGAAGGCCAGGAAAGAAAGAGGGAAAAAAAATGCAAATGAAGCAAGTGAATTTATTGAGGTCTGCAATGCCAAAAGGAATAAAATGGATGACTTTTCAGCTTTTGGTGATTACATTGCTAGACGGATAAGGAACTTAAGAGATGGAAGGTTGCAAACAATTGCACAACATAAGATTTCAAACATTATTTTTGAAATAGAAATGCAGACTTACAAGCACTAACTGTCAGCATGTGATGATACGAAGAACATTAGATCCCCTAGAAATTGTAATTAGTATATTGTAAAGTTCTTTTTGTCCTACTACAACTGTACATTGACATTGTAGACACCAAAAAAATAGAAAAAGTAATTAAATAAAAGTATTGACATTCATGTGTAAAATATTATATGAAATTATTCCATTGTTTCCATATACTAGAATAGAAACTATATTATTGATTTATTATACATCAATACGTAATAAATCAAAAATATCACTATATTTTTTGTGAGTGTGCTGTAAATAGGGAGTTTGTTGGTAGAAGGAACCTTTGTTTATTATTTTGATTCTTTCATTCTTCTTAGGCTATGCATAATCTATTCGATTCATATTTTGATTTGCATCAAATTATACACATCATATATAATTTTCCTGGATTAAGTTTTTTTCTCTTTACAGAATGAATACTTGAAAATTTGTATTAAAGATATATAAAGTATTTCATATATCATAAGCATTTATCATTATTTCAAATATCATAAAAGATCCTGCTAAAGTCAATACATTTGTTTAAATTAATTTCTTTTTAAAGTAATGAAATACAGTGAAGAATGCCACCTTTTTAGTTTGAAACAATTCTACGTGTCCAACAACTGTAAAACCATTTAATATGAGGTAGCCTGCAGAATTTGGAATATTATCACATGCTATTAATTTCTCACTCCCTCTATTATATTTGACTTATCATACACGATTGTAATTAAATATGTGACTTAATAAATATTATTATTATTATTATTATTATTATTATTATTATTATTATTATTATTATTATTATAATTATTAATATGAGAAAATATCAATTCCTTGTGGTCCCAACATACAAGTACTACATTTTATTCGTTAACTATTACTGTATTCTGTCAAAATCTCTGACAAACATATTTCTGGATAATTTTATCAATTGAGTCATATTTGCAAAATAAAATACTTTTGGACTAGAGTTAAATGGAATAAAATAAGTATCACTTGGAATTCTCTTTTACAGTGTTGCTTTCCATATTTAATTTAGCATTGAGCCGTGATTTCCTAAAATTTATATTATAAAATAATATATACTAATAATAGGAAGCCATGATTGAGGTGTTAATGATAGTACAAATATATTTAAAAAAGGAAGAACTATAAGTATGGAAATAAATATGAAACGAGAAAATAAGTGTTGTAAATTATATCTGGAGTAATTCTTTGGAAATGAAGGCCTATTTGAATGTTATTCATTATCAACCGAGAAGAATGCAGAACGCAGGAGGGACCTTATTTCCCAAAGACTTAATGTCGTGTTTAAAAGACTCGAAATCAGTAGCAGCCCGTTCTTCAATTTCGAGTTTAAACGATTCTGTAGTTTCGTAGCCGTCTATTCTTTGCTGACGCTAGCGCTCGTTGGCCAACAAGGGAATACAGTACCTACTCATTGATTTGTCACCTCCTGAGGCTCTTGTTCACTGTAGTTCACAGGCTGTCAGTCAGCAGCTGTCAGGTTAAGCCGGTTACAGCTGTTATCATTTGTCATCACAGCGCAGTCGCTGGTGTATTAGATTTTGGGCTGCAAAGATATTGTTAGCTAGCGAAGATCTATAACGTCATTGTTGCTCAATAAAGAAGTGTTATCAGGTACTGTATTATGGAGAATACAGAGGTCCTATTGCCACTTAATTACTTTCACGTTCGGTTTGTGTTGATTAAAAGTTACAATTCGAGTTGTACTTCAATATTGTCAGACTTTTTACGATAGCTAACCTTACCTTAATATTAAGTTATAAATTATGTTATAGATTATATAAAATTTATTGATATCTTTTTGTTTTATTTGGGGGAAATTTTGGTACTAGGAATTCATGACTTCGAGAAAGCGCGCGTAATTTTCACGGATACTTTCTTCGGAACAATTTTGATTTAATCAAACGCGTTCAAATGTTTCAATCCAATTTCGTTCTGCCAAGAATACGCTTTCTTCTTCCAAACTCTTGGTCGTGCTTGGTCCGTTTCATTGCGGCATAGAGAGAGAAGTGCGTTCGCGATCGTATTTGACCAGAAACCTAAGATTATGAAAATTTGTCATACGAGTATTTCATTGCCGATTTAAAAAAGATAGACGTTCAATAATTTTGATATTTTTGTTTTTGTTGTGAAAATTGTTTTAACGCCTTCTATTGGTTACGAAACTTAAGTTAGTGACATAGACTAATTTGTTTAAAAAGGCGAAATTTACGGTAATGTAAGATTTTGTTTCAGTTATTGTTACACTTCACTGTTGATCTCTTTTTCACACTTCACTGTTGATATCGTTTTCCGTCTCAGGTGGCATAGGACTATCAGCTCCTGAGCCCTTCATATATTAAATCAAAATGTTCTTAATTTGTAAAAAATTAAACAATCATCCTTATTAATCATCTTTATTTACATGACAGTTAATTTTTGAATAATGAGGAAAGTAATGTGTTTTCAAAGAAATATCTTTGGCTCCATTTACCTGATCTATTTATATAAGATTCAGATAACTTTGCATTCTTCTTGCAAAGTTCATAGAAGTTTTTCCGTAGAAACAATGTACTATCAAGTGCCCATTCATATACAGTTGTCATCATCACAAATTTGCAGTAACAGTGTTATAACATGAAAAAGCTTGTTTTCTGGGAGATATGTTTGAATTATCATCTTGGTATAGAAAATAAGCTATATCAGCACAGCTGTTCTCTTCTGATAAATTTGCAAAGCACAAGTATGCCATTTTACCAGTTGAAAGAGGTTTGAAAATCCTATTTCTTTTAACTAATTATTATTTCTGAAAAACTTTTGAGTTGCAGCAAGTGAGCAAAGTTGCCCAAACTTTTGTTTGATTTGGCTTTATTTCGTTATTAGTGACTAAAAGTACAGAAACATTTTTTAGTGAGATTTATTTCTCATTCTGTAGGTACTGTCTTTTAATATATTTTTAATGTAAATTACATAATTCAACTATTTTAAATTTTTGAAAGGATTAATTTTCAGTTATAGGAATACATTGTGGGTGTTTTACAAGTAAAAAGAAAGTTTTAAATAACAATAATGTAAACAATTTGCAGGTGGTAATATATTAACATATACAAATTATCAAAAAATAAATAAATAAAGACCATTGTTTAATACCAAATAACTGATGAAAGTAAGTGCTTTACCTTCATAATTATTCAGGGGTAGTTCAAATGGTCTGTTCCTTCCAGCAGTTTTAGTTGCTATTAACCTGACAATAAGCAAGCCATGTTTCTTAACAAATCGCAAGTTTACTTTGTTACCCTGCTGTAAAAAAGGCAAGAAAACGGTAATAATACAATATTGGGTTTCTTTAATAAATACATGTTTATTTTAAAGTTTTTCTCCATAGTTTGGAAACAAGAACAAGCAATTTATTAATTTCTCATTTTAGCAATCTTGAAATATGTGTTAAGTATGTTTAATGCATCTGTAGTCCTCACACATTGCACAGAGGAATATAAAATTTTTGTAAGTTTATCATGTTGATGGAGGAAACTCCCTAAAAGTAGTTTTGAAATAATAATTCGTATAAATAATATTATGGAAGTTAAATATGTTATAATGTAATATCAATTTATTAATAACTTGCAGAACCCGACAGAGCCTTGCTTTGCCATTCATCTCCCTTTCTTTCCATCTCTCTTCATCTCCCCCTCTCCCCATCACCCCAACAAAAGTGTAGTAGAATGTTTATCTGTAGATTACGGTGTAAGAAATGTTTCTTTTAGGCCTTTGGCCTCAAAATTGTAGTTTTTAATGCCCTAGAACACTTTATTTAGGAGTGACAACGATATAGATTCAAAAAAATCTTGCAGTGTGTTGCGGGTTGTATTTAACATGAACATTTCATTTTGTTCTGCAGTGCTATCAACTGAATTTGTGTGATATTTTAGTAGTTATTCTGCTATTCAGGGCAGAGATGAATCCAACAAATCAGAGATAATTAAAATTGGTTCAGTTGTTCTTGTTAAAAATGCTGTAACCAGACTTTGATTTATGTAAAGAGATATGTAAATAATTTGTTTATAATATTTGTAATGAAAAACTAGAACTGAAAATCTAAATAAGAAATAAAACCTCAGTTGTGCATCTTGATGATCCATGCTCTGATTTGAATTGCACGGCAAGAAGCAAAAGAAAGCAGAGGGTGACTTGTGTCCTCACTCCTTAAAATATTTCTTTTGCGATGAACTTTCTTGGAAAGATCAGAGAACAGTTAAAAGAGAAGTAGCTGGCTATGTGCACAAAATTTTCCTTGTTTGTTTAAAAGGAAATGAGAAGCCTGACAGATTGTAAATGTATCTGAAACAGTGCTGAGTTGACTTAGTTACCCTGTGCTCCCTCTCCTGAGTTAAGGTCAAAGTTCCTGGTTAAAAGTGCTGTAAAACGTGATACTCCATATAGTGTACTCCAGTTATCTCTGAGAACTATCCTTTTTGGTTTATTATATCCAATAATTCTGAAATATAATAGTTTTCAATTATGATTTATATTAATATTTTAGAGGTACACTAAAAATCAGTTCACTCCAAATGCAGAATTTTTGTGCTTTCTTATTTATTATTCTCTTGATTCTACATTGTTTATTCCCTCTAAATATTTAAATGTAGTCTTAATACCCTTCAATGCCTCTTTTCTCTTTGAAGCACTTTCTTAATTTTTGTTTCCTCTTTGCCTTCACATTCGTTTTGTTCTGCTTTGAAAAACCCTTTTACATTCATGATGTCCCAGCTAGATCAGATTTCGCAAGTTATTATTTTCCAATCCTAGTTGATGAATTCTTCAGGCTAGACAACTGTCACTGATGAGTTGAAGGAAGCAGTTCCCTTTCATTCACTATCAGTGTCACAACTATGGTTGCCAGGGGTCCATACGTTGAGCAGACAGTCTGCGTTTTTCACACTATGTTCTCTTTTTTCTTTTTCTTTTTTTTTTTTTTCTTCTTCATCAAAACTTGCTATAGGATTGTGAATGTTATTTTGACCAAGTGAAATAAGAGTGTAAACATGAATGATTTTGTTTGTATATTGGATGCATTCTTAAGGGTTTTAACTAGATTGTTGAGCTCATTCTTAAGGACTACTACAGACAAAGTCCTTCAAATGTGTATTAATAGACAAGTAATGGTTCTGTTGACCGTGTAATATTGTGCTTGTGTAATATTTTTGCAGAAATTGAAGATGTCGTATGAGAGAACACTGTGGATGCAGTTTGTCCGTGAGATTCCACAGTTGAAGGAATGGCTCAATTATGGATTTGTATCTGTTGGGCACAAAATATATATTCTTGGTTATAGTGATAAAACAGATAGATTTGAAGTGCTTATCTTTGATGCAAAAAATTATTCACTCCGTTCTGTGGATTTCCCTGACCAGTCAGAGAACAGTAGTGTTCCTGCTCTGAAGTCATTCTTCGCTGTATCGCACAGTAAGAAAATCTACATCTGTGGCAGCAAAAGTCCTAACTCCTTTGCTGCTCGTCATGTTCATTGCCTTGACACAGAAACCATGGAGTGGACAGACACAGATGCCCTAGGAGAGATTCCTCAGGGCAAAATGTGGGGAGCCGCATGTATTGTTGGCAACAAAATATATATCTGCATCGACTATTTCGTCAATGTTTCAGAAGGTAAACCGCGAATGTATGCTTTGGATTTGCGCACAAAAATTTGGACATGTCAATGCCGTCATACATGGTCTCTTCGCTTAACTCCACGTGGAACAGTAGCCTTTGGCCGGAGAATTTACGTCTTGTTCATAAAATGGACCAACATCGGTGACAATAATGACTGTATTGGGTGTTATGACACCTCAGAAGGTTCTTGGAGGTGGTTAGATCCTCCTGGTAGCTCAACATGTTTTGGGCCCAGCTGGACCATTTTTGACCATGGAGAAGATGTTTATATTTTGCTTAGCGATGTATTCATGATGGCAACAGAGCGTCTTGTTTACCCATATTCTGATGAGGATGGCCACGAGAAGATATTTGTAAAGTACTCCCCTCGCAGAGATGAATGGGGCCAGGTTAAATACAAGGGGTCGCCTCCAGGAAGGCAATTCGATTCTGTCATTGTGATTGAAGATAAAGTGTTTCTGTTTTGCTCCATTTACAAAGAGGCATACATGCTAGATTTCTTCCCTAGTCTGCGAAGTCTTTCTCTTGAAGCAGTGAACCACCATGAGCTGGATATTGCTTGTCTTCCTGCCGGTTTGAAAAATGAGATCCTACAGTCTACAACTCATTCTGCTTCATCTAAATGAGGGGCCAATAAGTCTTAAATAATCTTTTCTTAAGTGGGATTATTAACAGGTTTTCTTGTTTGCATTGTTTTATTTAATTTCTTGATAAAAACCTAAAGAACAAAAAGGGAAAGGTATTGGAGATTTATATTTCTTCTTTGTTATTTTGTAAGAATATAATTTTTATTTGTGGTTCTGTGCACTAATGTGCAAATTTATTGAATCTGTTTAGTGATTATTACAGCAGGAGTTATCATAAGCAGATAACTAAAAATAATTCAGCTCATGTGTGCAAAATTAGAGGACCACCTGCAGCATCTGTTCCTTGAATGATTTTCAGATTGTTTTCAGATTTTCAGAAAGTAACACACATGTTTGTGCATCTAATTGTAAATTGTGGTGTACTTGAAATGCTATCAATGTAAACTAAAAAAATAATTGTGACCATGAAATTAACAAATGTTTTGTCATTTTCCTGTTGTTAAATATCTAAATAGAAGGCCAGTAACTAGTTGGTGTTGGAATTCGCAAAGAAGATAGAGGATGCATGAAAAATGTGTTTTTTATTTTACTTTTTATTTGGGTTATGCCAAAGCAAAAGTACAAATCAACCTTTGGTGGTTATTTTATTTTTTATAGAAATGTATTTTTTACATTTCTTTTTGCAAGTACAAATTCTTTAAATTTTATTAAAAGATCTGAAAGATTTATTGTAAATAAAATAGTTTTATTTACATGAATGTTTAATTGTAACAAAATATAAAATATTATAAATGCTATTTGTGATAAATATTTATGTGAAATTTTGGTGCTTTAATTTCTCGTATTGAAAAGAATCATTTATACAATTCTTTTGTGAAATTTTGTGAGGTGCAGTTTTATATTCTATCTGTATGTGTATCATTGTTGAAGTCTAATGTTTAATGGTCTTGTTTTGAGTGTTCTTTGTTTAATAATTAGTATGCTCTCATAAGTCAGAATTGAGACTATTAATAATGATATTGAATATAGTAACAGTACATTTTATGTCAGTTAAATAAAAATATGCAACCAGCACAAAGTTTTTAGGGTTAAAAGTAAGAGAAAATTCTATTTTAGTGAAGCCTTGTCAAAATGTTATAGCACATTCTTTACTCAAATGATGTACGGAGGTGGCCAAATTATTAGACTAAATATTTTTTCTGTGACTTAACGCTTTATAATGAGTCCTGAAAGGAAAAGTTAACAAAAGTAACTGTTTGAAGTGTAATGTGTGTTAATGTTATTGGAAATATGGAAAAAAAACTGTTAATGTTACAATGAGGCACGACCAATACTCAAGAGGCCATAAAGAACCAATGGTTCTCTCACATATGAGTTGTTTGCAAGAGAAACTTTCCTATCACAACAGGAAAAAAAGTTGGAAAACATCTTGAAGACATTGATTATTTTGTGTTCAAATAGGCTGCAAATAGCCCTGACATGAATCTCATCAAAAATGTTCATTTGATAGTTCTAAGAAACTGAAGAATAGAAAGCCATAAAAACCAGCTCATAAATCAAGTCATTCACATATCGCAAAATGACATTCAAATTGAAATAATGGATTAACAATTTATTTTCAACATACATCAGAACAAGTGTGTTAATTACGAAATGTTTATAAAACATTAGAATGCTGTATGCAGTGTGTGTCAATATCTACAGTCGTAAAAACACTGTCTGATTCAATAACTCTCGTCTAATAATTTGGCCACCTCTTTAAGAATGTATGAAATGGAGGAAGATGGTATCAGTACGACATGTGAATCTTGAATGATTTAACAAGGCATAGTTACTAATGCTCCCAATAATTTCTTAACAGGCTAAGTCAATTGGTGGATCCACAGGAGAATGAAGGGAGGCATGGTTGATTAAGCATTTGTATCTCAATATTGAATTATATCTTGGTAACAGCCTCGGCTTGGGACTGGAGCATCTGTAGGCACTGACAGGTGTAAGATGTAAAACCTGAAATATAGACCTACACAAGAACTTAAAAAATTTTGGATACATTTGTTGCTTTGAAAATGTTTGTTGTCTATATTGTTATATCGACCAGAGATTCTGACTTGCAAGGCCACAACTAAAACCTTCAATATCATTGCAGGCCATGTTTTCATTACTCGGGCAATCCACATCTGACTTCCCTGTAATGTCGGCTCTTTGTCCAGCTGCTCTGAAATGGGGGGGGGGACCATGCGTTACATCAGGATGTACCTTGCGTAACACAGTGAATCAAATTGAGATGATTTTTAATTCCTGAATTTAGGAGAAAAAAAGTCTTAAATCAAAACTTCACCTATTTTTACATTAGAGGGAGTGTAGACCCCAGCAGGGCACGTGTGCTAGGGGCACGATGTTCTCGCCCAACATGGATGCAAGAGATATTCACTTTTGACTAATATCCTTCACGGTCCACAATAAATAGCAGCTCAGGCTGCCACTTTGACCACCCTGATATAGACCATCTGAAACTATGAAGTCAGAATTATTTAACAAGACTTGTCAGTTATATTTGATTTTGTAATAAAGTGATGATCTAATATGTATTTACTGTTTTCCTAAAGAAAAGGAGTTGGGCCCAGTTTGAACATTTTCTGATTCTGCCTTTTGGCTAAGTAAATCACTACATAAGTGTATGTGCAGAATTCATTTTGTAGTCAGAACAGTGCCAAATGGAGAGAAGTGATTAATGAGAAGAAGGATTTTACTAGTACTTTCATCTCGTGCAGTGGTTTGTAAACATTCCTTCAAGCAAAATACTTTTATGTGATATCCTAGTCGGAAATAGTATTGATTAGTTGGCATGAGATTTGAGACATTATCTAGCTATGCATTAACAGGAGTAAATGCTAGCACATTTTGTAATTTTATGTCTATTGAAAAGCAGTTCAATGATTATTTCATCAGGTACTGAAAACTATTGAAAACACCTTTAAAATTACAGTAGAAACCCTCATATCTGACCCCCTTTTTCATTGTATTTGCCCTGGAATTCTCAACACGTACTCGGTGATTGAACCTTGGTGTGTACATTCTTGTAATATTCAATGTAAGACAGTATAGTAAGTATTATGTATTGCATGTATATTAATAGCACATGAATAGTATTATTGTATGTAGGAACTCATTTGTTTTTCTATTCATTTTTTTAAATTGTTCCTCTGATTATCAGACTTTTTACCACAGATAACAGTTATGAGGGTATCGACTGTCATTGATTTGCCCTATTGCAATTTTGTTTATGATATAGTTTAAGGTAAGTAACAATTATTTAAACTCCAATGATCTTAAAACTCATTGTAAACAATGGCTGTACTACCAGTATTATGCATGTTTAAATATGTGAAGAAGAATTGAGATAAATGTTTTGCATATATTCATGAGAGTGAGAGGAATGTTCTTTTAAATTCTGTAGGAATGTCGTGTTTATTTTGAACACAATTTTTTTATAAGTAACTTTATTGATTTGTTTGTAGGACTACAAAAAAATATTATTTTGAAATATTTTACATAGTTGCTAAGAACACAAGTGCCAATCAAAATTGGGTGAAATCAATAATGTTAAACAATTGGAGTTTTTTCAGTCCTGTTGTGTTGAAATTAAAAACATTATTTGAATTATTGGAATTGAGGTCTTATCAAATGTTTTTCATACAGGCAAAAATTTTGAATTCAGATTTATATAACATTTATCTTTATTTCTCTTTGTGATTTTAAAACTTGTTGCCTGCTGGTAATACGTCATTACTTTGTTAATGAAGATTAATCTGAATTTGTTCTCTCTCTTATCAACACTACTGATGCAATTTGGCAAATTCTTGTGCCTTACTCAAATTGCAATCATTAGTGCTTTGGATGATTGAAGATGACCTTTTTTTCAATTATTGGACGTTATTATGCTTCAACGAACTAAGCACCAATTTTAACACATCGTATGTGGTGTTTTCTGGGATGAACTACACAAAATATCAACACTTACAAATGCGAAAAATATTTTAAGAAATCAATGATTTTTTGCAAAGTAGAGAATGTCACTTGATTGTTTGATGCATAACACCTTCCAATTGACAAAATTCATGCATTGACAGCAAAAACATTGACAATTATATTCTATAAAATTAATGCCCTCCAATATTGAAAACTGTTCAAATTTTCCAAATCTCCATTGTTCATTGTAAGAATAGGATGACACGTGAGATGGCGAGAAAGCAACTGAAATAAACTTTTATTTTTTACAGTGATGTATACTGAAAAATTGTTATTGTTATAAATGTACTGTAGACATCTATTTAATATGCGTCAAAAATGGTTATTTTTGTGGAACTCTTTTCATAGTATTATTCATAAAAATGCTCAATTTTCCTCTTGAGCTAACATATGTGTATGTTCCTGTGATTGTTGTGAAACTTGCATTCCAGTTTTATGTGAAAATTTTCAAAGATATCACCATTACTCAGTGTATTGCATGGTAGTTTTAGAAAAACAAAGGTGGTTTGAATTATATTTGTGACTTGAAGATTCGCTGTTTTATTGAAACGTGATTAAAAAAGGTGTGTATTATATAGAGGCAATTTACAAATAAATATTAAAATATTTTATGAAGAAGGAAATGACTCACTTGATTTTAAATTAATCTTATGATATTACTTAATTATTTTAATGATGTTGATTAAATCGATGTGAATATTTATCAATGATGTTGTGATGCGTGAAATGACTATGGAATGTGATACAATTGTCTTTTTGAGCGTGTAGTTCATAGATGCACAATGTCCTATCAAGAACTTCTATTGTAACAGATTTGTTGTAAACTTTTATTTCAAGCTGAAATAAATATTTTTTGATCACTGTGTACCAATGTGAGAATACTTTGTGACCAACATGGTTTACTAAAATGAAGATATATTTCTAGAGCTGACTATACATGATTTCATTTGAAGTAAAAGGATCATGTCGATTTACATTCATCGATTGCTATTGTTAATATTTTCCATGGTTATGAGCAGCTTCTTCCAAATTCTGAGCGTTTATTGACCAGAAGCAAATAAAGGGGCAGTCTTTTTCATCATGTTTTGAGGATGACGGAAAGCAAGTTCACTTGAGGTTATGGAACCAGAAATTGTTTGAAATATTTGATGCAGGTTCATTTAAATTTGTTTTGATATTTGAAACAAAATAAAAACAAATAGTAGCTGACAGTCATGAGCAAAGAAATCATAAACATTGTGTTTACAGTAGCAAGAATGCTTCACTCTGAAAACAGTTTTTTTTCTTCTTTTTTTTTCTTTCATATGTAATAGACAAACAATCTTTAAATGACAAAAAATTATATCAGTCAAATATTATCAGTTTGTACATAACTATCATGCGAAAGTACTTTTTTTGTCGTGAAAAAAAGTGTTTTTGGAACATACAATTAATGAGTACACATTTTATTTGCCAATCCAAACTAATTTTAAATATAGCATTGTTGGGCCAAAAAATAAGTTCTCAATGAATGCAAATTAAAAATTACATTTGAATGAATTTGAAATATAAATGTGCCCTTCAGGCTTGATAATATTCTTTATTGAATATTAAAAAAAGGTGAATCGTTGTGATCTTCTAGTTTACTGAGGTTTAGTGTCTAATAATATAAAACAGATTTGCATCAGTAAACCTGTAGGTGTTATTTGAATGTATAAGAAGACTTTGAGGTTTTCATTTCTTAAGGTAAATTATTATTAAAAGTCTCTTCAGTTGTGATGTTTTCTAATAGTGTCATTTATTAGTTTTAATTTCACATGTAAACAAAACAACAATGTTGAATTCTTGACATGCATAAAGGAGATTTTGAAGAACTATAAATAGATTATTGCGTATGGTTTCAACTAGGACCGGCATTTGGTGTTAAGTCCGAGTGGGTTTTGTAGTCAATGCTGGGGGCCTCCTTCCTTCTTCCAACATTGAAAATGTATAAAGAGGGAAAAATACAAAACACATTTATTTCAAATTATCATGTTTATCATTAAATTCTTTTCATATTTATTTTATGTAACTTCACCAGTTAATTTTTGCATAAAAATACAGGGCTGCACTTTTCATTTTTTGATATAAATTCATTTAACAATTTTTGCAAATCGATTTTGTTGGTCGTGTCACAAAATACATGTAAAATTGCAATTGTGTTACTCTCACCCTCAATTCGAGTGGGTATTTTCCCCATTCAGAATTTTTTTACCCACTGTACCAACATTATATGCCGCACCTGCTTTCAACACTCCTTTGCCCTCCCATATCTAAGTCTGCATGTTTTGGTATATCGGACTTCCCTTTATACGATGCAATAGTTAAAAAATAAGGGGAAGGTACCTCATCCCCAGGTGTAGCTGGGAAATACACTGTTCGTCTAAAAAGCTGGGAAAATAATCAAACAAAACAACGGTGTGGTCTGTGGTGCTCTTTTGCCTTTTAATTTTTAAATTTCACCCAA